TCTCCCACCCACCCGCCCCCAAGCCTCTCCACCCATCAGTGGCGATAGGCAGAGATACTGTGACATAACCATGGAATTAGACCTTTATGCCACAATCAACCCAAGAAAACTAGTAAGTGTCCCTGCAATTTAGGTAAATCCCTAGTTACCTTGCATTAAAAAAAATACTTAGAACGGCTCACGGAGACAACATCTGTTCAAGACCACTTCAGCTCACTGCAAGGTACACATGTGCGAAGGCATACTGATCCAGGTGCAAAGCTATTTTATGTGGGATACTACGTGGAGAATTAAAACCAATTTCACATTCTGCATATGTAAGGTTTAGGAGAACAAGGCTTAGAATTGAACTTTTCTGGTACATTTGATATTTTTTAAACAAGTAAGGTCTTGTTATCTTTACATCTTAGAAAACAGGCATAAAAAAACCCTTACCTATATGCTCAGCCATCCTCTGCCTAAGAGACTTTGTTTTGGGAGCAAAGCTGAGTTTCCTTTCATGATCAGATTCTTCTTCACTCTCAAGATCACTGCTTTCCTTTCTCCGAGAAACCTGATGACAATCTGAAGTATCCAGTGAAATATAGTCTCCTTGAGTCCTGGCCAGCTGACGTTTTCTTCGGGCAGCCTGAATGTAAGCTGCACTAGGGAAAGTACCTACATTGAACAGAATAAAATTAAGATAGGAACCAAAATTACATTTTTTGCCATGAGGAATAATATTGTATTATACAGTGCTTTTTCTACAAATAATTGATAGATTGTAGATTGTTAACCTAGTATATTTTAGACAAAACAACACACTGATATAACTAAACACTATTTCAATTATACAAAAGGGCACAATTTGAAATCTACAAATATTTAGGGCCACATCGATACCCCCAATTATTAATTTTTCAGAGTGCTCCCAACAGTCTTCAAGCCCTTGAACAAGACCAAAAGCAGTCTTAGTAGGTAAAACTGCCTAAAGCGTCCAGTACTTATGACATAAATGCTGATGGAGCAGGCAAGAGAGAAATGCCAGCTTACAACTTCCAAGTCCCAAAAATTACAAGCACAAAGACATTAATGAGTTTTAAATTTGAAAACTTAGGGAAAATAAGAAAATGGAAAATATTCCTGTATCATGCATGCAATGTAAAAAATTCTATGTACTTTACATTTTTCATTGTTGTTTGAAATATGTAACCTTCCTATTTCAGAAAGAACATTTCAGTGCATCTAACACCATTGTTTTAAATAGAATTTAAGATTATACCATCATACTTTATACCATGATGCTTACTTTCAATTTTTTTTATTTTGATTACTACAAATATTATTTTTTTTGTCTTTAACATAATATCATTCTGGAGGTTTATCCTAAATTTCAAGAGCCTTGCTTGCCAATAAAAATTTTGTGAGATATTATATATTCTGTTAGTGCCTTTTTAAAGTATACTTTGATGATTTGTGCAAGAGCCAGACTGCTCTCAGGCTGCTTGCAGACATTAACAAAACAAAACAAAAACAAAAACTGTGCTTTGCCAGGAGGAGCAGCACATTACTGTGACCTGGCTCCGCAGCGTCTGTATACAACGGGTGCTCCAGTGGGGCTTTTTGGTGCTTTTTTCTAAAGCTGAGTCAGTCAATCAGCTATTAGATAAAATTGTCAAAAAGCCTTACTAAAGCACCCAATCTATACAGACGTGGGGTGAGCCATGTCCAACTAACATGCTGCCTCCTCAGCATGGAAACGTGCCAAGTTTAAAGTGCCATCTTTTTTTTTTTTTTTTTTTTTAAATGTCTGCAAGCAACCACAGTTACACTAGTGTAACTCTAGACTATTTCCTTAATGCTTAGTGACTCCAGTGCAGCTACTGCAGATTTGGCAATAGAGAGAACAGACTGAAGTTTAGACAGTAAGAGGCATTTGGAAAACCTGCAATATGTAAGATTATCTAACTACACTCTCTCCATGAAACACCATTTATCACTTTAAGGAGGCATTTCTTTTTTTTTTTTACAAAAAATTCTTTACAAACCTGGTGGTAAATCCTCCCTTTTCTGCGGGGAGCTGGGTAGAGGTTCAGATGCCGTGGATGAATTGCAGTCATCTTCATTTGCTGAAGAACACTGCTCGTCCTCCTCATCTGACTCAAATGCATCTTTGATTTCAGTGGCTCTAGATTCTGATTGAAAGATTTCTGTAAATCAAGGGAAAAAACAAAGCCCACAACTGCAGCCCGACCTCTTGGAAGGGCTTTCTGATTTCATATGGTTTTGAATGGTTAATCGATAATACTCAACCCAGCAAAGATTTACACACTTGCTTCACTTATATATGGTAGGGTGTCTGACTGACTTCAAGGATTTTATAAAAATATTTTTAGTAGTAATAAATTTTAACAAAAGCAGATTTGTAAGACACTGTAAGACCATGTATGCTGTGAATCTATACAAATTCACCTCCTTTTCACTTCTCCTGAATTTAGAATTAAGAGTAGATTTTAAGAAATTCTTAACACAGTTTAGACCTTTTATTGCCAACATTCATTTAAAAAAATGCTGATACAGCACAGTATAAATAGTATGTAGAGGTGCACCAATAGAGATTTGGGGAGCCGATTTTTAAGGAGGCATATCTGCCAATACTGATCCAATTTCCAATACAGCTGCGTGCAGCTGGTAAGTCTGTTGTGGTGAAAGGGGAGGGAAGGGGCGTGGGGGATGCAGATCAATGCCCCCCACGGTGAGGGAAGAGTGGGGATGGGGTAGATGCTGCCCAGTTGGGGCAGGGCAGGCACAGAATGGAGCTGCGACTCATCCAGGAGTGCAGGGCGCTGGCGGCTCCTGCCGCTGCATGTCGCTGGTCCAGAAGCAGCTTGTCCAGTTGCTCATCAGCTCGTCCAGCAGCTCCCGCCGCTTGTCTGGGAGGGCATGTGCCTCCAGATCTGCACAGGGCAGGCTGGGCTAGACTGGGCAGGCTGCAGCTGCAGGCTGGGGCCACGGGATGCATCGTGCTGTGCTCGGAACGGGCGCCGGTGGCACTGGGAGCACAGTCCCCAGCCCCAACCCACAGCTGCAGCCCGCCTGGCCCAGCCCGTGCAGATCTGGGGGCAAACCACCCCCCCAGACGAGTGGCAGGAGCAGTGGTGGGAGCCGCCAGATGAGCAATCAACAATCCATAACTATTCCTTAGATCCCAATGCCAGATGATAGTAAATTAAACAGATTGCAGGGGGAGAAAAAGAGGAAGGGGACAACTGCCTACCTATAAAAAAAAAAAAAAGGAATAAAGAAGGAGGAAAATTATGTTTTTCAAAAAGTTAATAAAACGTTCAACTGACCAATACTTAGTACAAGGGCAAATAATGAATTATCACTGCTTGGAATAACATACAACTTTAAAAAGCTGATGTTTAAGTAAAAACTTAAATACATCCATAATACCCTGAAAATAATCATTTTTGGTTTTAGAAGCCACATTAAACTCTATCAGAAAACCCTCTCTGGCTTTTTCAGGTAAAAATCAAAATGTATTTTGTGTTAACCCAAGTATCCTTATCAAACTTCAATTTCAGATTGATGGGGCAAGATGTAAATACCACAGAGTTTAAAGGAGCTGCTGCTTGTGATACTAAGACATCACAAAGTTTTTTAATGTCCACTTACTGTGGGAGCTCTGGATACTCAAAGATTAGCTCATAAATGCTCCTGCTGCTACCAAAGTCAATGGGAGTTTAAAAGATAACGTCAAGAGGTTCAAGGTCAAATTTAAGCCAGTTTTGCATTTGGGAATATGGGTTTCCCTCGCTTTATGCTGTACATGTGTTCCTGGAAAATGGTGCACAACTCCAATTCATATAAAGGGAACCCACTTTACAATGTAACAAATAGAGATATGTTCCAAGACCACAACTGTACTGAGCCATTTCTACCACTTTTACAAGACAATTTTGGTACTCACCAACAACAGACAGTACACACAAGCACAGGGTAGTGGTGAATGGTACCATAATGGGGACGGCAACTACAGAAACGTGTAGCAGACAATGACCAAGGAGCACAGATCCACGCAGGAGACTGTATTTTGGTGTGCATCACTCCCACGATGCACTGCACAAAGCAGCTGACTGCCAGTTTCCACCACATCAATCGCATAAGAGTGAATTTACCTCTCATATAACAAATTTTTGGTATAAAAATGTTTATCACATAAGACCAAATTTGCGCACACAGAACCCACATAAAGCGAGGGAAACCTGCATATATTTAAGCTTACTGCTATTCAAATATAAAAGTATCAGGGTTTATAAGAAGAAACATATTGGATAACATGTTTAATCTGGGATCACTAAAGGCTTTCAATTAAATCTACAAAGCATTCTTGGTAAACATCTACCTTTTCCGCTTTCAGTTTGCTCTGCAGAAGCCACACTTCCCTTCTTCGGAATGTTAAATTTGATGGCATTGAGTGACGGTTTCTTTACTTGGAAGTGCTCTTCACTCCCTAGTGGGGAGAATAAAACAAACCATGAACAGACTTCCCAAGCAACACGTTGTTTACTTTTTGTGGCAATGCACCTTTGGGTGTTTGCCATTTTAAGGGCTGAAGCAAGCAGGCTGCAGACCAGCCGGCAGGTGGGAGCAGACCCAATTGGGTGGTCACATGGCACCCAGGAGACTGCCCGATTGGTGGAGTGCTGGGCAGCCTGGGTATAAGACCAGGCCCCGAGACCACAGCTGGCCACTTGCAAGAATGAACATCACCTGACCTGAATACTGCTGCTCCCAGGACATCTGGAAATCAGGTTAGGAACTGTAGGGATGGAAGAGGTCCCTGGCCCTGGATAAGACTTGAAACTACAACCTGCGGGGTTTAGATGGTGTGGTGGGGCCATCTGTGGTCGCCAGGAAATGCCACACCTGTGCCTCCCCAGTGAAAGGCAAGGATGGAGCGCCATATAGCCTCAGCCCCCACCACCTGATGGGTAACCCCACACAGGGAACAGATTAGGTGTCCAGGCATGTCGACAGACACCTGAGGCCTAACAGGTGTAAAGCCCAGAAGCTACAGTGACAGGGCAGAGTAGTGGCCCCAGTGAGGGGGCAGAGTGAAAGCTGGGGGCCATGTGGAATAGGGCCCATGGGAGCCTGAAGGACTGCGCATAGGTCAGCCAGAGTAGTGGCCCCAGTAAGGGGGGCAGAAAAGGCCAAGGTACATCTGAGGACACCTGAGGCCAATTGTGGGCTGGAGGCCAAGTGCAGCCCAGCAAAGGGGCCAGGGGAGCTGGAAGTCATTTTAGATGTCATCTGTGAGGCATGGGATATGGTGTAGGAAAGGTTCAGAGCTGTGTATTACACCCTTGGCATCAGGACACTGAAGGGGCAGCCTCCTGCCTAGAAACAACTATTCAGTTCCAAAGGTGTGGTAGGAGTCAGGTGGGTGGGCCAACTATGAGGCTGGCCTTGCCCCCTGTCACATTTGTGAATGCTGCAATTCCAAACCACATCCTAAGTCACAAGCACAGCAGATGAAAGAACATAGAATATAAGAACTGCCATTTACTGAGTCAGAGAATGGGACAGTCTTGCCCAGTGCCCCGTGTCCACAGAGGGGTGCCACCACTTCCCCTGGCTGCTGCTGGAGCTGCTGGGCCAGGAATCGGAAGGAGCCCTGCTGAGCTGCTGTAGGCTCCTGCTACCCTTACCACCACTGTGCCTGGACCTACAGCCCACCATCACCACCCAGGTGCCTGAACCATCTCCCCCAGCCCTGATCAAAGCCACCCTTGCCACAGACTCCAGCACATCCTACGACCCAGTACAGACAGGGGAGAAGCAGGGTCCCTCACCAAAAACCATTCTAACCCTGAGGGAGATGCTGCACAGACCCACTGCCGGTTGTCCTGCTATTCCTTGTGCTACCCTCTCCCCCACCACAAGGGGCTGTATCTCTCCCTCTCCTGGTGTTGGGGGATGTAGTGAACTGGGTGGTTCAGGCAGTGCTCTGCTGGACCTTTGCCCCCATAGGGGCAGAGGAGGGGGAAACGCCTGCCCCACCAGGCCAGTCTCCAGAGATGGGCACTGGGATTCTTCTGGCTGGAACAGCACTGGGTCTCTGCAAGTGTCCTGAGCCTCCCCTTGAGGGAGAGCAGACAGGGCCTGGTGAGCCTCTGCATCCAGGCCCACACCTACCTTTAGGCCTTGCAGAGGTTCCCATACAGTGCCAGTAGTCAGGCAATGTGGTGTAGCCTATGCCCCTCATTTGGTAAGTAACTCCAGGCTTTTAAAAGCTATGTCAAGGCCTAAATTCTTTTGGAAAAAAACCTGCTTTTTGCTGCTGCCTCTACAAACGCAGTAATCTTCAAATAACCCTTTTAGGATGTGAAACAAGACTAATGGTTAACTATATGCAACATTATGTACTAACACAGACAGAATATGTCTGGACTTAACCATAATAAGGAAGAGGGAGGAAAACATATAGAAAACAAATTATATCACAGTTAAGATTAATCGTAGACTAACACAGGGATCAGCAGCCTCCAGCACACGTGCCAGAGCATGGCATGCAAGGCCATCTTGCTCAGCATACCACAGAGGGCCTGGGCTCTGGGCACATGTTGCTGGCCATGGAGCCTGGGATGTTCACAGCAGGTGGCTGAGAGGCTGCAAGCTGTGCTGCATGCAGCCCAGGCTCCATGGCAGGCAGCAGTTGCCTAGAGCCCAGGTTGGCTGTGGCAGGTAGCCAGGAAGCTGCAAACAGCTGCACCGGACTCCTTAGTGACCACAGATGCACATATGCCTCTGGGTGCAGGGCCAGAAAGGGGCTGCAGAATGCATGGATGGGGAAGGGCTGGAGTTGCTGAGGCACAGCTGCCACTGCCACAGAGCCCAGCCATACTAAAGACCAGTACAACTTGTTTGCAGCCTCCCAGCTGCCAGCCACAGGTGACCCGGGCTCTAGGTAGCTGCAGCAGGCAGCTAGGAGGCTGCAAACAACTGCACCAAGCTCCACAGTCCCAGCACTGGCTCTGTGGCAGTGGTGGCAGCTGCACACATGCCTCAGAACACATGGTAGGGAAGCAGCCTGGGGCAGCACAGGCGGCAGGCAGGCTGCCAACAGCTGCATAGCTTCCCTGCCGTACTAAGTCCCCCCTCCCTTCTACCTGTCCTGCCACCTTCCGAGGCATGATGCCACTTCTCTTTCTCCCATTCCCTCACCAGACTGCTCCTCACCCCAAGCTAAAATATAACTGGTAGGGCATTACCAGTTATCAATACGTGAATGGTTAAGTGTTCACATCCCTATTTGCCACAGCCTAAAATATTTTCAAATGAGGTCCAGCAAAAGAAAGTTTGAGAACCCCTGCACTACTTAAACTGGTTAAAAGGCCTATACGTACTTAGTCATGGATAGTAAAAAACCCAAGCTGGATACCTGAACGTTTCAGGCAGCATGGAGAGAATTGTATGGTTTTGTGCAGAAAGGGGATCATGTTGTTTGTGGCCTGTGCAGTAAAAGAGTGGTATCTTGTACTTTCAGCATCCAGTGCCATTTCAAACTTGAGTGCACCAGAAAAGCTGTTGATTCACTTGAAAAACAGACCCCTGGCTTTTCTAAGTTTGTAACTAAATGTGTTCTTTCCACACAGGCAAGTTACATTGCAGCTGTAGCTATAGCTCAGAAGGGCGAGTGCTTACAGATGGAGAGGACTTAAAGGAAGCTTTCTGAAACCGTGCTGAGGAACTGTTTCACGATTTTGTGAATAACAAAGCCATGAAGAAATGCCATCGGCAGCCAGGACAGCTCAAAAGTGAGTAGACATCCATGAGTTCCACCCTGAAGTTACAGGCTGAGAGAGAAAGAACTACCTTTTGTTAGTTTTAATCTCACCACCTAGTGTCATTCTGTGACCCTTACTTCTGTATTGTGAGACAGTCAATAACAAAACCCTAGTGACTTTCTATACACCATTTCGCATTTTGTAAACTCTTAATGTTGCCCTTCAGACCCCTCTTTTCTAAACTCAGCCAAGCCTGGCCTCTTCCCCCGCCCCCTCACACAAGCCCTCCCCACCACCGATCATCCTCGTCACCCTTCTCTGTGCTGGCTCTAGCTGCCTATACCCTTTGTGAGGTGTGAGGACCAGACCGGGGCACATTATTCAAGGTGCGGATGCACCACGGATGTCTAAGGGGCATCACGATACTTTCTGCTGCGTGGAGTCAGGCAGTCATTGCTACACACCAGACACTTGGCATGGGACGAGCAAATGTGAGGCCAACCCTTGTGCCAGACCCACAGGCCTCCTTGCCCGCTCCCTCTGCCCAGCCCCAGGGGTCGAGACACACATTCAAACGAAAGCTAGCTGGAAACCTCTTCCAGAGCCACTACATGTTTCCAAGCACTAATTCTGTTGCTGCCCGGCCCTCAGGGCAGCAGGAAAAACGTGGTTATCACCCGACTTGGCCCATGGGGCCAGTCCACGATTATTGCGTGCTCCACCAGTGACTTGCGCCATGCGGGTAAGGTGCAAAGGGGCCAAGCCCGGACGCCTGCGGGGAGGGGGAGGAGCTCTACCTTCTCGCTCCTCGTCGCTGCCGAAGCTGAGCAGGTCCCTGCACCCCCGTGCCTGCCGGGCCCCGCCTTCGCCTCCATTCTCCGCCGCCTCTTGGCCCCTCACGCTCACCGTCGGCGCTTCCGGGAGCCGCGGGGGATAGTGGTCGGGGCTGGCAGGGCCCTGCCGCCGCCCCTCCTCCTCCTCCCCCCCCTCGACGCCGGGGCCCGGCTCCTCCTCGCTACTAGCGGACTGCGCCCTGCGGCGGCCCCGGAAGTGACGCGGACGCCGGCGGAACATTCTGTCCCGTACCGGTCACGCAGGCCCCGGTAAAACCCGCCGCCCAATGCGCATGCGCGCCGCAGCCCGGCTGGATAAGGAAGCAGGGCTGACCAATCACCTGGTGCTGGCCCCGCCCCGTGGTTGTCACAAGGGAAATGGGAGGGGCAGAAGAGGCTGCTGGCCAATGAGGATGAAGTGTCTTTAACCCTCCCCTGGCTGGGACAAAGCCGGGTGCAGAGTGGGGGAGTCTTCAGTGCTGTAGCGGCGGGGGCGGTGCCGGCAGAGGAGGCCGCTCAGCGCGGGCAGTCTTTCCTGCAGGACCACGGGGGAGCAGGTGCGGGTCGCGGCCTTCTCCGGTAAAGCAAGTGGGACCCGTGCAAACTAAGTACGGCAGCACGTGTCTTCTCCCCAACGTTGTTGTCTCTGACTTAGCGCTGGGGGGCTGGAGCCCCGGGGAGAGCCGCCTGCCCGCTCCCCCGCCCCTGGCTTCAGATGATTTGCTGCGGAGTAAAACCTGGGGTTAGTTGCACCACAGCAGTGGTGGGAGGTGTCTGCGCCCTTCCTCTTTGCTGGGACGCTGGCACTTGTATGCGCTTCAGATCTTCATAGGATGCATTTGGTAGCCTGAGATGCAAAGAAATGCAAAAATCTAGAGCTCTTGATTCAGAGATAAGACCTTTTATTAGACCAACGAGGAAATCACAGACGCAATTATTTTTTTTTTTTGCTGTGAGCTTTTCGGCAGGGTAAAATTAATCTTTTTCTGCGAGCAAGGACAGCCCCAAAAATAAACGTCAAACGCCCTTTGTCAGCCTCTGGGAAAACTAAAGATAGTGAAAATTCCCCATAAGTAGGAAATAAATTTCACTTTTGCACAGACAGGGAGCTGAAGATGGAAATCTGTCCCTCTGGATCTATGAGTGTGTGGTTGTGAGTTGTTCTGGGTTGCTCTTGGTTGTGTAAATCAGGTACGCCTCCTTCCCTGGAGGTGTCAGATGGCAAGCGGGGAGCTTAGAAATCTTTCTTGTTGTTAAATGAAGTTTAAAATCCAAAATCAGCTAAAATTCAAGTCTTCATAGGCAGGCAAGGTTCTTTGGGTAGATGTGTGATACCTTTTACGAAACCAACTAAATAGTTGGGAAAATTATTTTTTGCAAGCTTTTGGGCACAAACACCCTTCCTAGGGCCTAGGGAGCCTGCTGGTGTGATGTGTGCTCTCCTGGGTAGGATAGAAGCCAATTTGCAAAATTAGGGTTGTGAAAATGCAAATGCCTGGCAGTGAGGATCAGAGGGAATGGGAGACAACAGATGTGAGACTGGTAAGTTGTGGGGAAGGAGGATGTTGACCTGGTGATAGAATCGAGCTGGTAAAATGCAGACAGGTTACCTGGGGTTATCGGATGGCAAACGAGTTATAATGTGCCATAAATCCAATGTCTGCATTTACTGCATGATTTTTTTTTTTTTTGTATCCAGTAGATTGATGAAGTGAAGTTTGTAGACTTGCCTTTAAGGATTAGAATTGGGAGATGGGAGAGAGAGTGGTTGTCTTGTGAGAAGTGGGTACCCACAGGTAATTGGGTAATTAAGTCTCCGTAGAGTCATAGAAAACTAGGGCTGAGGCAGGATGATCCCTATTCGAGCCATGCTATACAATTCACTAGCTAAACTCTACGTAAGACTACTATCAACCCTGACACAGCATAGACCTAACACCCTAACCTGCCACAGGTAACACAGGGGAATCACAGCAGACAGTGTCCTGCTTCTTTTCTTGTCAGTATGAGCTCAGGAGATACCAGGCAAACATTACTGCAGTTGTTTCTTTCTGGCTACTTAAAAATTCAGTAGTAAGGCAACCTCTCTTATCCACTAGACAGCAGTTTATGACCTACATACAAGCTGTGGGTCATGGTGAGGAAATCTTTCCATACAGCTGGAATCAATTTCTGCTTATCAATATCTTTGTTTATTCCTCACTATTAAATAGTTTAAACCAGGGGTGCTCAACTCCTGGCCTGTGAGCCAGATCCAGCCCACAGATCTATGTAATTCAGCCAGAAGGGCTCCCTAAGTGGGGAAGTGGTGGTATCATTAATTGCTCACCCCCTGCTGCTAAATTTTCAGACCCATGTGGCACTCCCTGTGCCAGATAACATGGCCCTGTGTACCAGATCATGCTAGATCACACCAGTGCGCAATTGGATCCAGGCATGTGGGGGTCAGGCTGGTGTGCTGGACCCCGCATGCCAACCCTGCATGGGACCTGGCCAGCATGCTGACCCTGTGCCACACATCCAGCCTGCTATAAGGTTGGGGCCCCTGGTTTAAGAACGTGATTGAAGGGATCTGGCTATCATTAATCCAATACACTATCTGGTCACAGAAAAGGTATGGGTTTTGGACCTGAAATGCAAATCACTGATGGTTTCTAGCATGTCTGGACAAGCACCAATACTGCAGAGTAAGTGAGCCAAACTATGAAGTATGCTAGAGGCATAAGATAATTTTGTTCCTTCTGCTTCCGTTCAAAGAATGGACAATTTTATCTATGATCTGTTCAGCTGACAGTAGGGATTTACACCTATCACCTTTCAGGACATTGTGCTGCCTATAACTGGAACTTGCTGACTGACTGTAGGCAGGGAGCCAACTAAATTTCAAAGGGAAGGCACTGAAGACTTGAAAAATATGAAAGATCTGGTTGTTTTAAGTATTTCTAGAGCCTTTATTTTCATATCTTGGCATATTTTGTTGTTCTCTCTCAGCTGGAGAGAATTAAGTAAGAATAGAAAAAGAATCTGTGGTCACTGTAAACAGTATTTCATACTCCCTCCCTTCCTGCTCCCTCCACTCTCCCCAAGTCTTTCATCTTAATTAGTCTCTTCTCAATCATTGTTTCTGTAGCTGCAGTCATCCTGTATCTATGTCTGGAACAATCTCCTTGTTATTCAGCTGGTCTCTTCCCCTTCCCATCGGCCTTCCTACCTGTTCATTACTCATCTCTTTGCCTTGAAATGCAGTCTAGAATCCTTATTGTATTTTCTTTCTGTGATTATAAACTCTGTGGGATAGGTACTATTACTTGACTGGTTTGTAAAATTGCATTGTAAGTATACATACCACAACTTATAATAAATGTCACTCTCACTTGTGTGTTAGGCCGGGATAGAAACAGTTTAGATTTTTTTTAAGTGCAGGGTAGTGGTGTACAGGTCTGGGGCAAACCCTGGGGGGGCATGCACAGTTGCAAGAGTGTGGATTCTGAGAGCTGGGGAGGGTGAGACAGCATGCAGATCCACCTTCTCTACTTGTTGCTGGCTTTCTGGCCCTCATGTTTCCCACATATGAGCATGGTGACACTCATTTCATCATCATCAGGGGGAGATCACAGCCCCCAGTGCTGAAGCCACTCCTTCTTGGACTTGCATACCAGTGACTAGAGCCACCTTTCCTTGCAGGCCCTCCCACAATGTCCAGGAGCCTGGGAAGAAGAAGGGAATGAGCTGATCTGAAAAGGAGAGCTCTATAGCCAAGTATTCATCCTTTCGCATGGGGGAAGCTGGCACTGGGACTGGAGTAGGGTGGGGGCAGGACTAGGAGCCTCCAGGGGTGCTGTTTGCCTGCAGGACACTGGGGTGTGTGTAGGGTGTCCAACAGCAGGAGGAGCAAGGACTTACTTCCCTTTGAGGGTCCTGCAGCACCTGGCCCCTGTGGGAGAATCTTGCAGCGACCCAGGGTGCCAGTCACTGCCTTGAAGGATGAGGACATAGATCATCAAATACAGGCAGTTCTCAGACTTATGACACAATTGATTCCTGAGACCGCATTTTAAGTTGAAGCCTTGCAACTCAGAACTGATTTTTCCCCTAGGAAACAATGTTATAAATGGGGGATTGGTTCCTGAGCCAAGGCCCGATACCCTGTTTTCACCAAAAATACCCCAGAATTTTGTACTCAATCAACTATAGATGAGTAATATAGCTACATTAATGTATTTATATTGTAAATAGCAATCATATTGATTTGGAAGGACTTCTTTGAGGTGACTTGGCTGGACTTCTTGAAGGGCTCCTGGCTGCAGGTTTTTCTGGAGTCTTGGACACTTTCTTAAAACTCTCTAAGGAAGTTTGGACAGACAAGAGATGGGCGACGCAGCGAACTTATTTGCTGACGTGGCGTGGCGTCGGATCAAGTGTTGTAAAGTCGAAACTGAGGTCAGAAAGTTGAAACAGTGTCAGTTTATAAACCTAAGTGCAAAACGTTGTAAGTCGAGGACTGCTTGTGCATCCAAAAGGAAAGGCTTCAGTCTGAGGCACAGAACCTGTGGAAAAGTCATTGCCTGCCCTCTCTGGAAAAAATCCAGGGAAAATTTTAAGGGGAACATTTAAAAATGTTAAATGTTTTGTTAGTGCTGGAACAAAACCGGACGACCAAAGGCGTTCGGTGCGCGCCTTGCGAGTTGCGGTTCTGCTGCCTGGTGTCCCAGTTCTCCCACGATACCACCCTGCTTGAGGCCGGCCACGGAGCTGGGCCTAGACAGCACAGGAGCATCCCACACGTCCCGACGCAATTTGCCTGCAAACGTTTAGGATTTCACAACTTGGATTTTCACTGCAGGGTTTGCCAGGCTCTGAGCGACTTCTTTGGTTTAATTTTTCAGTCAAATACTCTGCAAAAAAAACAAGTTGCCAAGCGGCTTTGACAACCGGCTTTTAGGACCAGGACCGAGGGGGGGCCTGGCTTCTTTAAGGCGGGGGGCAGGTTGAAAGACCTGCAGCCTTTCAACTCGGAGCCCTTTCTCCACAGAGGCGCGTGGGGGCTTCTCACCCGCGCCCCTCCCGGGCTGCTGGGGTCAGACTCGCCCCACCCGTGGGCTGGTTTTGCCTCGCAGGTCCGGGGAGGCGGCTGGGCGGCCACATTTTTGGATTTGTGAGGCCAATCCTGCACACGGGTCAAGCGTGGAGGCCGGGCCGGGCAAAGGAGAGGGGCTGCGGGCCCGGCCCCGCGGCGGGTAGCGCTGTGGGCCGGCTCCGCCCGCGCCGCCGCCGCCATGTTGTGGGGCTGAAGCTGCGGCCGCAGCAGCGGGAGG